GACCAAGATGCTGCTGAGGAAGAGCGTCAACGGTTAGAAGAGGAAGAATACCAAAGGGCAGAAGAAGAACGACTAAGAAGAGAGGAGGAACGACAAAGAAAGGAGGAAGAACGACAAAGAAAGGATGAAGAACGACAAAGCAAGGATGAAGAACGTTTGAGAGGAGAGGAAGAACGTCAAAGAAAAGAGGAAGAACGTCAAAGAAAGGAAGAACGACAAAGGAAAGAAGAAGAACGTCAGCGACGTGAAGAAAGTGAAAGAAAACGAAAAGAATTAGAAAGACAGTTATCAGAAGAAAAGAAACGAAAGCAGGAGTCCGAGTCCCCGCCGTCACCACCACAACCGCCAACATTACCAAGTAGGACTAGTTTTAGTAGTATTCATCTTTTCATATTTTCCATACTTAACTTGTTATAATATAACAGCACGTCCACCTGCTAAATCGAAGTCTTCTTCAGGTATGCTAATCTTTATTATATAACCTGCTCTCTCTCTCTCTTTTTTTTTTTTATATTTTATTCATTTTGATTTGATTTGCAATTCGTAGACGAAGCAGCTATAAAGAAAATACAAACACCAACAAATCGCATATTACCTGACAGACCAGCCCAAGCTCAATCAAAAGATAGTATGTTATTAGTATATTGTTAATCACTATTTGTTTTACAAGCTAAATTCAATTGACGACGTTTTTTTTTTTTTATCAAAGAACCACTTCCATCGAATACAAGGCATTGGACAGACAGAACTGGTTCATTCCAAGTTGAAGCCGAATTTCTTCAACTTATTGACGGCAAAGTACATCTCCATAAACTTAATGGCATAAAAATTGCTGTTCCCATTGATCGAATGAGCAAAAAGGACATTGCATATCTTGAGGGAGTAACTGGAGAAAAACTAGATGACAAATCTGATAACATACCTTTGGCCGCTATTGTTGCTGGACATAAAGGCAAGACGACCTTAACAAACAAACATAAATCGGAATATGATTGGTTTGACTTCTTTCTTAAGGCTGATATCACACATGATGATGCGTTCAAATACGCTAAAATATTTATCAACGAGAATATGGATGAGAGTTCAATAAATAATTTAGATCGTAATGTAATGAAAGAACTCGGCTTAAAAGAAGGTGATATAATTCGAGTAACTAAATACGTTTCTGAAAATTATACGTCTGTTAAAAAGAAAACTGCTATTGGTGAAAGTAAAGAAAGAGAAAAGATAGATAGAGAAATTGCCAAAAAAATCCAGGTATTATGGGATAATTTATATATAACTATTCTTTTTAATGACAAGTATCGTCATTTAACAGTTTTTACATTTATTTGAACTATTCTCATAAAGTCTGAAGAACTCGAAAAAT